AGCTGAGGCAGCTACTCCCTGGCTCACGTCAGCTTGCTGAGGCTGAGGTTCACAGCTTCCAAACGCCAGGAACCCAGGAAGCTCAGATGGAAGAGACACACACGTATCCTGATGTGTGCAAGCCCTGCACTGGGGTTTTCTGGCCCAAATTGCTTTTATATTGGCCATGTAGAGCACATTTCTTACCACAAGCCTGTGTTGTCCTGCGGACAGGAAGGTTTTTGAAGAGTGGGCTGGCCAGGAAATGGCTGTTACACTTACAAGGAAGTGAAGCAAAAGCATCAGCAATCACTTGGGATCTCCATCAGTAAAGGCGACCAACTTTTGCCCGTAGTCCGGAACCACTGGGATGATTTAAAGAGCCTTGCACTCTTCTGGCTCCTTCTCCTCTCCCTGTGTTCAATGGCCCTTTTCATCTCACCTGGCTTGTTGTGAGGCAGTCACACAGCACAGAGGTGCCCCATCCTATGGCAGGTGTGTACTAACACATACACTGGCACGGGATGTTCACAGCAGGTACCCTTGGGTGCTTCTATTAAAGGTTTGCATAGTGAAGTACAAGAACTGAACTCTGATGAGTTTGATGGAATTACAGACTTCTCCAAAAATTGAAGGGGGTTAGCGTTTTAAACCTTTGCCCAGCTTGTTGCAAAAATGAACGTCATTTAGGAGCTGTCTTTACTTGTCTTTGGTAAGGTCGTCAATGATTAACCATACTATGTGAAATGAGAAGACTAGAGTGTAGTTAGGAATAACTTTCAGTGTAGCATAAAGTGAGCAATTTATTAAAATTGTTGAAATATTTCACCCAGAGTATACTCCTCCTCAGAGTCAGGGATCATCTGGTAACTGCTTGAAAAGCAGATACAGAAAGGAAAAATTAAAGGAAGAATCAACATCAGATGTAAGACGCTTGGTTGAACTTGAGAAATGCTCTGATAACAGCTTCAAGCATTCAAATGGAAAAATACAGCCCTACTTAATATTATTGATTTCATGTCTGGAGAAAAACCCACAGAATATTGTGTCCAAGCTGCTGGAGACGCTAACTGGAGGCAGACAGATGAATGAGGTCAAAGTCATGACTTTGTTCAAACAATGAAACTCAAACAGAAAAAAAAGCTGGCAAAAAGACTTGTTGTGAAATCAGTTTCACACTCTGAAATATATTTATTTTATTATGCCTTGGTGATAATGAAGTAACCCTATAAGTCTTTTGGTGAAATCCTGGCTTTTTAATCTGATGGGAATTTAATTATTGACTTCAGCAGAGTCAGGACTTTACCATGCAATTGCAATCTGGGCATTCAAAATGCTTCTGCAGCCGTGATGTATCTCTTGCTTTGGTCTGAATTTGGAGGACTGATACTCTTGACTACCATTTTATGATACTTTTACAAAGGGTAGGAGTTATTCAAGGGACCTGTCCTCCATTTAAGGAGGGCAGATAGCTGTCAAGGGAGAGCACCAAACTCCTGGAAGAAGATCACTGAGTACTTCTAAAATGAGGCTTGTGTTAAAAAAAAAAAGAAATCTCCCTTTCTCCATTAACAATAGAGGGATACCATGGATGTTAACCTTCCCACCACCAAAATAGGGATATAGTCATCCAGGTTATATAACTGCCTTTGCATGCAGTGCCCTATGTATACTGAACTCAGCAGTGAGCAAAAGGAGATCTCGGATCAAAACACAGAATTAACCTATATACAAGGGGCTCCACAGAAAGCCACTGAACTTACAGAAACAGTGGAAGAATAAATTGCTTTTATAGTTAGCCACAAAACATGTGATTAGCATTTTCAGTTTGCAAAATGTTCTCTACTCGAGCACACCTCCCAAGCAAGATTTTTTTTCATGTTGGGACTAATCAGGTCCCAAGAGTCTGGGAACATCCCGGAGGAGCATCATATCGGAAATTATAATTGTCCATTGTCCATTATTTTCTCTTCAGTTAAGACAGAGATATGAATTAAATATCATTATATGCAGCAATGAAGAGGAAATTAAAAGGAGGGCTGATTAGAAGCAAGAAGCAATCTTTTCCTAACAGCAAGGCTGAAGGAAATGAATGCTCAGTGACAGCACCTCTGGCAATCCTGGGCGTCAAAGTCTCTGTTAACGCCAGGCCAGGATCCCTGGCTCTATGTACTGCTTCAGCCTGACATTTGGCCTTTCCTGCCACAGAGTATAGCTGGGAAATGTCAACAGCCATAACAAATACTACTGCATGTACCTGGCAAGTCACTCACGAAACACCCTTATGACTGTTTACAGAGCCTTGTAAGATGGTTTTCCTTTCTGGAAATAACAGATGTACTGGTAATACACTAAAGTTTCTAGTTTTTTCCCCCCAGATTTGTGCGTGAACTGCCATGGCAGGGAGAATAACATGGCAGTTCTCCAGCCTCTTAGTTAACTGTGATCAATTCTCCTGCAAAAACAAGACAGGAAAAAATTAAGATTGGTTCATTTATAGTTTGGGCACATTTCAGGATGGATATTCTTATTTTTCCAAAGGTGCTCAGTTCCTTGTTTCCCTTTCAGGATGGTCTCACATAATGGAAATGTAGAAGACACACCAGAATAAGTCTAAGTATATATTTTCATCTGTATCTGCTTTTGCAAAGAAAGATATTTTCAGGTTTTATTTTAAGAAACAATATTTTCTAGTGTAAGATATGATGCAGATGACTGCCATCAGCAGAAAGCCTCAGGACTTCAGAAAATGATCTTTTTAAGATTATGGTATGGGCTTTCATGACGTGTATGCAGTGTGCCTAAAGTTTCTACTGTCCTTTCTGGGATCCTGATTTTCTGCAAAGTAATCTAAATATGCCATAGTGTGAAGATTAGATTGTGTGTTCAATGTATAGACATACATTGCCATTTTTCCTTACCAACACCTCCCACTATTGCTCTGCATGTAAAGGTATTTCATTTGCTGAATTCAACCTGTCAACTGTAACAAATATGTCCTAATCCCATTATATGCATCACAGTTCACTAACAACCACGTAGGAGCCACCAAGCCTTTCTCTCTTTGATCATCCCAGACCTACACACTAGCCAAGGGCAAGAACCATGAAGTCTGCTGAGAATAGATGTGGAGAGACAACCTTCAAGGCACAACACCTGAGCACTACATATTTGATATGTGACAATTGTTTAAAAGGTACCTCAACTCCCATTTTACAAAGTTCATTACTGTAGCAATTACTTTATCATCTATTCTTTCCCTGTATTTCTCTATTTCCATTTATGCTGCTATGTCTTGTCTGATTTCATGGTGGCATAATTTTTGAATACATGGCTGCAACTGTGACTTAATAATTGTAGCTTTCTGGTTTCCCTCTTCACCATTAAGTTAGGTATTGACTTCTTTTCTTAGGAGTCTAATACAGCTATGAGATCATCATGCAAAGAGCTCAAGGCACAGAGGAGCAGAAAATAGAGTTTCTATTCTATGGAAAATTCAGGCATTTAACCAATTCCTGCAATTACAAACTGGAACAAGACATTACATTTTGAAAAATTTACCATTAAACAAAGATTCTGAAATATTTTGTTTTAGGTATCTGGGAATGATGTACTGAAACACTCTATTTAGGCAATTGAAATGTTTCATTTTAATGCTATTTCAATCTTTGTATTATATAAAAATAAGACTTTCGGGCTCTTCAGTTTTATCCAGTTACATATAAGCCCGAATGTAAAAATTGAAGCATTTAGGTAATTTTCCTTTAAAACATTTCAATCTTGCCAAACATCATTTCATCCACATTTTTGGAGAGGAAGCAAGTTCCTTTAGAAAGTTTAAGTCTTACAATTCTAAATTCCTTTAGGAAACCTGCAACCAGCTGTTGTACAAAGACAAGCTTTTAGGTAGCAAATGTGAGCATTTCAAGATCATGAGTGGATTAATGTCTTTATTTTGGTTTGCAAACAGAATCTTTCAAAGGGGCCATGAGATCCTGTGCAGACAGACTGCAATTGCAGATTTGCTGGAGCTATCAGACAATATCGGATGTCTCCTGTCCAAATGCTGAGAGCTATGAGGCTCTATCGACTGCACTGCAGAAACAGGCCACAATGAATGCGATTCAGGAAAGGATTAAAAAAGAGAGGACAACATTTCCTTATCACAAAGCAGTTCACAAAAACCTTCCATGCAGGTTTAAAATAAAACTGCTTTCCTGGCTGTGCCATTAGACAGCACATTGACTAAAATAGATGGTAAAATACATTAGTGTTCAGACTGTTGCTAGTTCTCTTGGCTAGGAGGAAGATATCATATATCATCAGTTTTAATTTTCATACGTTTATGACAAAGCACAAAGCTGCACGGTTTGGATGACAAACACAGCAGGAAAGTTTTCCTTTTTTTCTCTCTCCCCTTACCCAAATTGCTGTTTTGACTGCAATCATTAAGGGAATAGCAGAAGCATTTTTTGGCAGCAGGTTTTAAAACACATGACCTTAACAAGTCCTGTAACGATTTTGGAGAAAATAATGACTTAATGAATTAATTTCGTCCTCTTGTGCAAATTAGCTGTTTTCAAATTATACACGTGTATATGAATCACTTCACTCAGAACTGAAATACGGCCCGGCTTGCTCAGCTGCAAGGTGGCAGCCACAAAGGCAAACGGTATAACTTTGTAGCTTGAGTAATCCTGGACAGGACACTAAGGCAAAGCATTTCTCTTGCAGTCGTTTCCATGGTATCTTTAACACCCACATACAGCAAGTAGGACATTGGTTGTTAAAGTCTCATCCAAATAAATCCTACAAAGTAAATTGCACGGAACCCAATTTATCTACCTCGAAATTAAGTTTGCTGGGATTTGAACCTGTGGCTTCAGGAAAAAAACCAGACACTTCAAACCTGATGTGCAAATCATTCATCCGTTCTATCAGCTTTAAGACATAAATAGTAAATTTGAGGCCATATGCATGCATATATATATCTAAACCTATACATGGATAGCTGTACCTACATTTGCCTGAGATTCATCGTGCCCATTGATTTCTGCTAATTCCTTGGCGCTTTTTAACTGCAAAGAGTAAACAAAAAACAAAACAGAACAAAACAAGCACATTACTTGAGTATTTCACACAGTTATCTTTGATTTATTTGAAGGAGCATTTTATAAAGCTTCCAATGAGAAAAACAGATGGAGCATATAATTCTAATGGGTTTTTGCTCAAACCATTTTGAAACTAACACACTTAAGGCTTGATAGGTTGGCAAAAAGAAAAAAAAAAAGAAAAATAATAAGACTGGGTCATTATTTTTTAAATAATAAGATTAGAAAGTAGTTTCAAGGCATAAAAAGTGTACAGAATTGACTCTCAAGAATAATAAACTATTTCATTTCCCATTCTTGTTGCTATTAATTTAAACTTTACAATATTTGCAAGTTGCCACTAGCTAAATAGTGTTTTGCTAATGATTACTTTTGTATGATATATTTTGAGCTGTTCAAGATGCCAAAGTCCTACTGTACGTTTCCTTCCTAGGAAGGAAGCACCTAAATAACTGATATGGCTCCCGGGTATGACAGAAACAGAGGTGAAGGGAAGATCAGCTCTTTTATTTAACCAGTGGCAGGAAGAGGTGAGGAGACACTGCCAATTCCAGATGTATGGTTTGATCCAAAACTTTTTTTTTCCTCTTGGATTAGCTTTTTGGGGAAAATCCAGGGTTACACTGGGGATTGTAAAAATCATTCCCAAGAGATTTAAGAAATGTTCTAGCTCCCATCTTAAGCCACAGTAAAATATGCAGTTGTTCATCCTGTGGTTGAGCAAACACAGAAAGGAGGAGACACTGCAGCTCTCCTGAGCCTATAAGCCACGGAGGTTTGTACACTTAAATGAAGTGCTCAGAACCATTTACTCTTTTGGTAAATCTCTGAAGAGTCATGCTTTTATTCTAACTTAATTCAGAATAGATATCTGGGGTGGAGGGAAGATGGGGAACAATAAACAGAACTTTCCTCTGCATTCCTTGTTTTTTGCCAAAGAAGCTGGGGTTGACGTAACTGTTAATGATACAGCTGTGATCCTGAATGGCAACAGTCCTAAAATCCAGGACATGGAACACTGTCATGTTTCCATTAGGTGTCTGACTCAGAAGTGTTGGAGGACTACCACCCTAGGGTGGCTAGGTTATCTCCATCATCTTTTTGCCGTGTGGCAGCAACAGGTAAACTGTGTGTGATTGAGTTCCCGGCTTCTCACAGTTTCCCATGTGACAATTAAGGTAAGCAGGCCACGGTCTCTGCGTACCTCATTACGCAGGGCTGTAAACTGCACCAGTTCAGGAGCTGCTGCTGGAGCCACTAAACGGGTCCTGAAGGAGAGGGAAGGTGGTAATCCCTGATAAAGCAGTGCAAAGAACAGCTGGGGACTGCAGGCTCATCAGGTGTCCTGGTTCAATTCACTGATGCTCATCTTTCAATACCCTCGAAAAGTCTGGAATTTATACTGACAGCAGGGTGATGCATTTCCAATGAATGCTACATGTTTTCCCTGCACTGGAAAAAATAACCATCCTGTGAAACCACCTCACTGTGAGAGTGGCTGGCAGGAACAAGCCGAGATGGCTACTTGCAGCCAAGCACCAAAGTTAGGTATTTCTGCATCGTGGTGAGACTAAAAGAGCATTTACCCGATTCTGCCAATTCTTCATTATAGAAATTCACCTTATGTGAGCAGTGCTGTTGAGTACAGCTGAATCACTCGTCTGCATATGAGGTCAGGAGAGCGTGCTTGGGTGTGTAAAACTGCTCTTCACGCTCACGTCACGTCCTGAGCCCTCGAGGAGTGCTGCTCATGACCTACCTTTCGCCTTTCCTTTCCCAGGCTGACAGAGTGCCGCCACCCCTTGGTGGCTGCCGGCTCCTTGGGCAACGCTCGGCGTGCATCCTGCTGGTGACATACCACCTCCCCGTCACCCGCACGTGTGTTTGACGGGAGAGTGGGCTCAGCCTCTGGCCTACGTTGGTCTGGCAGGCTTTTACCCCACCATGGTTTCCCACCAGCACTGCCCCAGCACTGCTCCACCGGTTAATCTAACCGTAATGCAGACAGGTTGCTTGAGCATTTCAATCTTTTTTTTTGTGTGCCAGGCTTTGAAAAGGATGCCAGAGCTCAGGCAAGAAGGTGCTAGAATCCACCTCTACACCAGGATTGCTGCAGCAGGATGTGAAGGTGAACTGGTGGAGATAATGGTGGAAAACTTGGGGGTAGAAAATGTGCAGCTGCATTCCCCCAGACTAAAGGGGTAAAGTCCCTTTTTTTCCAATATTGTTTTTTTTTCTAAATTCAAATTTAAATTATGTTCTTCTCTCATATCCTAAAAAGTGAAATCTTGGAATAGGAACCTCAGAAAAACATACAATATTGGAAAAACAGGACTTGCCTTACGCCCTAGGCAGGCTCCATCACGGGTCGGTGGCGAGTGTGATGTTACCAGCAGAAAGCATGCTGAGGCAACACACTGACCTAGTGCCACTAACAACCAAGGGCCTGCCTGGAAGCAAAGGAGAAGGGTTGAGGAGTTAGAAGTCTCGGATATGTCTCATGCCACGGTGGGGTAGGTCTGACTCAAACCAGTGGGCATGGATCCCTCTGGCAACCAGAGCTGGCGGCCACGGGCCGGATCTGATCCAGAAGCCCTTTGGCTACGGTAATGCAATATGGTGCACAAGCAACTGGGACTTCTCCCAGCGGGATGTCCCAGCCTGGACACAGCTGGGTTGGTACAACTGGATGCGCGCGAGACGCGCTGAGCCAGCAGACGCGCGCAGACACAGCTGCACCTCCCCACGCAGGGTGGGATCCCGCTGCCAGCTTGAGATGAAAAGGCGGATTTTAGCAAACTATTCACAAAACCAAGCCATACAATCGAGGCGGGAGCCCGGCGCTATTTGTTTTTGAAAGAAATGTTCATATTTACCTGACTCCGCCGGATGATTCTCCATACCCGTTGTGGACAAAACACACAGAGGAGCTGTGCTGCTTGCAAATGAAAGCTGTGAGCCTTGGCAAGTGGGGGACATTATTGCCACGGCTTCTGCCATCCTGGGAAGTTTTGGAATCGCTTCAGGGTTGTTGGAGAAGCCCACTGGCTGCGTAGCGCTCCTTAGGAATTCTGGCTACTTACGGTCTTGGCCTTAGGTGTGTTTCCGAGCTAATTCTCAAAAGAAATGCAGATCCATCCTGCCTTTCTTCCAGCTACAGTTTCGTCTGTCTGCCTAGCATGAGCGCACGTTTGATTTGCAATTAGTAGGAGTCTGCAGAGATCCAAAAGTCTGCCCTGGTGGTCCCTACTGGGGCCTAGCATTGTAAGATCTTCCTACAGGTTTTTGCAGCATTTAATTGCTACCAAGATATAGAATAACTTAATGAAATGTCATTATTTCTTTTTTTTTAAATATTTTATAATGCTATACCTTGAATGCCCTGTAAAAATGTAAATGAGATGCAATTAACTCAAGAGATCTGGTGGATTCTCTGTTTATATTCCGTCATTACCAAATCCATTCTTCCTGATTTTTTTTGTAAGTCTTCAAGACGTTTTATGTAAGTCTTGCACCAGCTCTCATTTAGAACGTTATCTTTGCAACTGTAAGTGCTAAGAACATGTATCTGAACATAAAAGCTTTATTTTTCACAGAATCTAAATTATTAGTTTCTAGAATATAGTTGTCACTAGATATGTTCAAAGACAAATGTTGGATGTGGAACAATGTCACAGTTTTCATAATGAGCATTAAAAAATTCTGAAATAAGCATAATTTACTTTTCCCAATATGTACATTAAATGTACAAATCTGTTTGCAGACATATTCAGACATACATGATGAAAAATCTTGAACGTAAGAATTACCAGCATTTTGAATCTCTGCCATCTAAGCAATTGCGATCCCACAGCCTTTAGACTGCAAATACTCAACCAGTTCACTAAAAATTTCAGCTTAAAGTTTATATAGAAAGGATTAAAATAAGGTCTCAAAGCAGAGACCGTGCCTGCGCAGCACGGGTGTGGGCTTGTGATTTCAGTGTGTCCAAGCCATGTGGTCTGTACAGACAACGTGTATTTGTGCACACTGTGCTTGCACAAAATGCACTGTTTCATCTCCAGATTTACAGATTTAGCACCAGATTTTCTTTTTGTTGTGTAACTATCCATCTTACCATGCTACCGTGCAATACTATCAAATACGCATCTCAGTGTCATAGAACACCTTAGTATCAAAGAAGGTATAATCAGATTTACAGGGTTTTGCTGCTCACTGCTTAAATAATTGCTTTGATAACTACTTTTTTTTTTTTGCCATTATGAGAAAGGTTTTTGTTTACTCTCATCTGTATGAATAACACAGGAGATGCCAAGCTCTTTTTCTTCAATATCTTAAAAGAAAGAGCTGTGTTCTTTTAAATATGTTTACTTTTCAGGTATATTTAACTTTCACAACTTTTTTTTTTTTTTTTTTTAATTCAGAGTGAAAACATGCATCACTGATATCTATGTAGAATAACGTAAGAGGAAATGTTACTCAAGACATGAAATTCAATATTAGATAGTATAAAATAAGGGTCCCTTTTCACTGTGGTTTCTCAAACTCTGTGTTAGCCTCAGCTGCCTTCACAAATGCTAATCGGAACAGCCAAACAGGCCACATAAGGTTATGTCTTGCTCACAGCACAGTCAGCGGTCAAACTCCTATGGATTTTGGAGGTGAAGCCATGAGTCCTCCATCTCCTGAGCATGCCTAAACTAGCATTTTAATCCCACCAACAGCACTTACCTGTTCCTGCAGGACTTTAAGCATCGCTTGTGTATGTGTTTGCTCTTCCTTGGCTTGCTCCAGTTCAGATTTTTTGTTATTTAATTCTTCCTGTATGCTCAGCAATTGCTGCACAAACAAAAGAAGTTTCTGGTTAGCACCATCTGGATCCAAAGCAGTTTTAAATCCTGTTTGATAAATCCTCATTTCAAACAACGCTTTGCAGCCTGCTCCTACATTTATTATTGTTGCATAATCTGCTGTGTCTAAATGGACCAGAGGTAAATTATTTTCATCTGCATCTCCTTCTGCAGCAGTGGTCCACGAGTAGTGCATCTGTTAATGTGTGTTAAGCTATTTGCTACACTAAAGTAGAAACTCCTGGTACAGTATATCACCCACAGAGCGACTGTCACATTCATCTGAACCAAAATCTTATTTGTAGAAGCATATGCGGTGGTTTTAATAATGCTAGGGTAAACACTATGGTACATAAACAATTTAAAAGCACAGCCCTTTAATATAATTAGTCATTGGCCCACAGCCATTTTCATTCTATGCAAAGCAATATTCTGGAAAGCTTTCACACTGAGTTGCCAAGAGGACAAAAGCTTTCTTTTTTTCCCCTTGTGCTGTGATATTTTATTAGTTCAGGAAGACTGATGTCCTATAATCAATATATCAGCCAGGAAGTCTGCCGATCCGAATTGTCAAAACAGAAAAGCTATGACCAAACCCTATTCTGGGATGTAGGGACATCTTTAAAAGCCCACGTCCCCTGGTCTTGGCTAGCTTTAGGTTCTGCCTAGATTTATTGTGACTGTCAAGAGCAGGTCAGTAGATTTAATTAATTCTGAAACGATTATGTATTTTTGTATTGATGTGATGAATGTTAGACACTGCTGAAGAGCAAGGGAGATAAACATGAGATTAAAAAGGAGTTTATGGCGTTTTCCCTTAGTGATCAAGAAAGAAAACTCTGATTTGCTGGGGCAACATATTACTTGTAAGCACACTCCTTTTTAAGGCGTAGTTGGATGAGGAATTCCTGTACTAACTTGCGTTACTGATCTAACTATGTATCTAAGTATCTAAAGCCTAGTTTATGCTTGTGCTTAGGACTGGTAACTCTGACTCAGACTGATGTTGCAGGTGTTCAGCATCTTGCTAAGTTACAGATAGCAAACCTAGAAATAGTCCCTGGCCTCGTTCTACTGCACTGGGAGACCCAGGCATCAAAGGACTTGGCAGCAGTATCATTTTCAGAGCTGCTTGGAAACAGATGACATTTCAGGGACTGATGGAGTTACTGGTAGTGTATTTCTGTTGTAAGTGAACACCAATATGATGGATTAATTCAGCCACTGAAGTAAAAATACATGTGGGTATATGTCTGATTATATCTCACACACTCTACAGTCCAGCTGGGTTAGGTTTTTTGATGGATCTTGCCACCTGGACTGCTCCCTGGGAGCCTCCAAAAGACATTCAGTTGTGTGTATTCACTCTACCACAGCACAAGAGCGTTTCAAACTACAAGATTTTACATGAAATAACAAGATCTGTTCCACTGAGACTCTTGCCCAACCAACTTTTTCATGGGAAGCTCTGCTTCTGGCATTTCCTCACCAGGGATGGATTGCCACCTCACGTCTATGTTCATTTTGCCTGTTGTGTACTACTCCCTACATTTGCAGAAGATACACTGAATTTGTGTATACTGTCACCTGTCACACACTGATACCCATGCAAGTCCTTAGCACAATTTCCAGACATTTCATAACCTTTTAGCCCCGAGGGGACCATTTGGTCACCTCATGTAACCTCCTGTTATTACAGACCACTAAGCCTCACCCAGGATAGCTCTAGCTGATATCTGCAGTTTAGAAAAAAGGGACTCCAATCCTCAGAAGAGAAGCAGAGCTACAAGACACCAGAAAGATAGCATAAGCCCTTTTGAGGGTCATTGACACCCTTGAAGGGTCAAGCTGAGACGCCTGAGGTTTGGTAAACAGATGTGTCACCTAATACGGGCTGGGAAATGTTCTCTCCTTCCCAGGTGCAACCTGTTTGACCTTACACACCTGAACATGGCAAGGATTGTTAAGAGAAAGGAGTCTTTGCTCCCCACCGCAGAGTCTTCAAGCAGTTTTGTCTCAACAGTGTGGCCGGCCTCTGATGATTCAGAGGGCTGAACCACAATGAATGAAATGATCCTCACACCAAGCCAGGAATGCATCTAGCCAGTTATGTGATGGGGGAGCGAAGCCCTTCTTTGTGTTCCCAGGCAATCAGATGAAACCTTGAAGCATGGATTTGATTACTATCATTGTCTCAGTGCAGTGCTACAAGTACTTAGGGAGTCTGAGGAGGATCTTACAAGAAATGTTGTTTGCTCCACAGCCTCTGAAGGAAGTGAATAGCCATGCATATACAAGGAGAACATCACCACCGTCCGGACTGTACCTTCATCCCGATTCAGGGATTTTACTCCAGCTTCTAGGAGAAACCCTAGAGCCCATCCTTCTGAACAGTATAAACTCCTATCTGGAAGATCTCAAGTGAGTTTTCAGTCCGTCTCTGCCCCGGAAAGCCTTTTCACTGCTGAATGACTTTTACAATGGGACATCAAGTTTCACTTATGGGTTGAACTTGTTACTTTTCCACCAGACCTGAAATCTCCTTCCCCATCCTACCCGCACCCTCCACATGGTTCTGCCATGGCCAAGTTCTACATACCGCAGACAGGCTTACAAACGTCCGCTGTTTTATTTTCACATCTCCCACTGCAATCTCCCACTGTGATTTAATCTAATTATATCCCTCTTCCTTTAATCCCAACTTTTTCTGTTTTGTGATTGAGGCAATTTTTCCAAAACTGTCTGGGTATGGGAGGAAGTGGTGTGGAAGACACTCTCTGAGAGCACAAGAGAGAGAGATGCTCTCTGCTCTGCACCTTTGTATTTGGCTCTGGACCAGCCATGAGCAGGAATCCCAGGAAAACATCCAAGATGCTCAGTCTCCCCATAGTAAGAGCATGTGCATTCTGGTTGCAGTATGAGCTGCAGTACACTTGATATGAGATAAAACCTTCCAGCAGTATTAATGTTTAAACTGTCATAGAGTCATAGAATAGTTTGGATTGGAAGGGATTTTTAAGGTCATCTATCCAACCTCACTGCAATGAGCAGGGACATCTTCAACTAGATCAGATTGCTGAGAGCCCCATTCAACCTCACTTTGAATGTTTCCAGGGATCTATGGGGCATCTACGACTTCTCTGGGCAACCTGTGTCAGTCTTTCACCAATCTCATGGTGAAACACTCATAGACTTATATCTAATCTAAATCTACCCTCTTTTAGTTTAAAACATTACACCATTTCCTATCACAACAGGCCCTCCAAAAAAGTCTGTCCCCATCTTCCTTATAAGCCCCCTTGAAATACTGGAAGGCTGCAATAAGGTCTCCCCAGAGCCTCCTCTCCTCCAGGCTGAACAACCCCAACTCTCTCAGCCTGTTCTCACAGCAGAGGTGTTCCATTCCTCGGATCATTTTTGTGGCCCCTCTCTGGACCCTCTCCAGCAGGTCCATGTCTTTCCTGTGCTGAGGGCTCCAGAGCTGGATGCAGGACTCCAGGTGGGGTCTCACCAGAGGGGAGTAAAGGGGCAGAATCACCTCCCTTGACCTGCTGGCCACGCTGCTTTGGATGCAGCCCAGAAGATGGTTGGCCTTCTGGGCTGCGAGGGCACATTGCTGGCTCATGTCCAGCTTTTCATCCACCAGTACCCCCAAGCCCTTCTCGGCAGAGCTGCTCTCGATCCCTTCATCCCCCAGCCTGTATTGGTACTGGGGGTTGCCCTGACCCAAGGCCTTGTTGAACCTCATGAGGTTCACATGGGCCCAACTGCTGTCAACTACTGCAGGCTTACTGTGTGTGCGTAGGCTTATGTTTTCAAAGACAGCAAATGGGTCTTATTTTAATGGGAGTGGAAAACAGAGTATCTGTAACAAAGGTACCATGTTCCCACTCATACATAAGGTTTTTCATTCACAGAACTGGGACCTTCCCATCCAACCCCCAAAGACACTAGAATTTTTTTAAACCTTGTAGCCATCCCCCAGGTGTTTAACCTTCTTTTTTTTTCTCTCCCTCATATTTATCTCCAAAAGCTGCAGAACCTGCTCATTTTACATGGGTCAGGTTCTGAGATTTCTTTTTCCTGAGTGGTTGATGCCACCACCAGGAAGTTGTAACAAGGAGTTATACCTGCCAAACAGCATATTTTTCCCTTCTGGTTTCATTTTTGAAAATGAAGAAATAGCTTTGAGTAAAAAAAAATATCAGTCTGAGACAGATGAACAGCCTGAAAAATTTCAGCACAAACACGTGATGTTTGGCAAAATTAGAAGCAAATGGGAAGAGGATTTTATACTGGCAGGAATGAGGCAAGTTTCATAACACGGACTGCTGTCATGCCTGCTTATTAACAGACAGCCTCTCTGTAAAGATTGTAATGAATGATGCCAAGATGATGGTATTTAATTATTTAAAATTATTTTGTTTTTCACATAAATGTTCTTATTAAAAATTGATCCTATAGCTATTTCTTCTGCCCTTCAGATTGCTTGCAAGTGTACACCTCAATCAATTAAATTGTTCTTGATTTTAATGTCTGTGCTGTTCTGATACTGTTCCACCTACTTTGCTATCTCATCCAGCGTTTCTGCCAGAGCTTCCCCCCATGGCCACCCACCCACACAGCATTTGCTACCTGGCTTCCCACCTGTTATATCCTGCTGGCTTGTCCCAGAGCTACTGCCAGCACAGCTATCAAAGTGTCCCTTCCTTCAACCTTGTCTCACCTCTCTGGCCATTCCCTTTAAGCCCTGATGTCCCCAACTTTGTGGCACAGGCATGGCATTCAGACAGCAGTTCCCCAGTTTCCTCAGGCAAAGTAGCAACTTGTTGGTCACACAGCCAGGAAATTCCTGGTTCATTCTTCTGTTGCCTTCCCAGTGGTCCCCAGTGTGCAATTCTTTATGTCTCTGAGGGTCCCCTACAAGGTATGCAAGAGTCTTTTCCATGACCCAAAATCCCAGTGTCAGGAAGCAGAAAAGCATCTCAC